AAACAGAGAAATGGCTCAATGAATGGATCGCTTCGAAGGACGAGTCGTTTTTCCGTCACGGAATGCAACTGCCAGACAGATGGGAAAAAATAATAGCAAGCGATGGCAAATACTTTTATTAGTATATTTTTTCATGTTTTTTCATACTAAAACCTTTTTTGGAAGAAAAAATGGACCGAATTAATTCACACATGTAATATATAATACTGCAATCTGCAAGAATATGAAAAACTAGATATTTTGCGGAAAGATCAAATTTATATCACCAACAATTTTACGTCCAAAATTTATATTAAACATCTAAGATAAAAAGAAAGTGTGTTTAGGATTATCGAATGTTTAAAACTTATTTAAAACTCTTGTTTTAAATAAAAATTTTTAAAACCAATTTGCACTGAGAGTATGAAAAAAGAATCGCGTAACAATTTTCACGAAAGAGACTGCATTAAAAAAACTTAAATTTATTTGTCCATTTAAAATACTCTCCGCAACAATGGAGAAACTCTGAAGTTCCCTGGTATTTGGTTAGCATAAAAAAATGCGCGAAGGGAATTCGGAAGATATTAATGATACGAAAGGGTTACGGGGGGAAGAGAGTCTCTGGAGCAGGGATTCCCAAGGAGGGGTGCGAAAAAACATTCTTGGAGGTGCAAGAAAAAATAATTATAATTAATAATGATTAAGATGAATTCTAAAATAATCCGGCATTTTTACCATCAAATTAAAGAAAATGTTATTAGAATTATATATTTTTTACGTTGAATTTTACGTTGAATTTTACCTTGAAAAGTCCAGTCAAGATCAACAAAAATCTTAAATGGATACCCCAATTTTTTATTACATCATCTTTTTCTAGCAATTAATTTGAACAACTTTTATCTGAAACATTTTTTATTTACCTAATATTTTTTTTAGATATTTAAGAAAAACTTGATAACTTTTTTAATAATTAACTCACGATATCTCGCTAACTATATGTCAGAAGAAAAAGTGGTACTAGACTTTTTTGCTCTATTTAGTCTCAAGAATATATTTTGACAATAGTGCCCTGACTTTTGTTAACTTGCTGATTGTTGGAAATTTTAAAATCATCAAATTAATCAAATTCAGCGCGCTATTGGAACAATATATTCTTCAAACTAAATAGAGCAAAAAAGTCTAGTATCACTTTTCCTTCTGACAAATAGTTAGCGAGATATCGTGAGTTAAATATTGAAAGAGTTATCAAGTTTTCCTTAAATATCTAAAAAAGAAATTAGGTAAATAAAAAATGTTTCAGACAAAAGTTGTTCAAATTAATTGCTAGAAAAAGATGATGTAATAAAAAATTGAGGTATCCATTTAAGATTTTTATGTTAATCTTGGCTGGACTTTTCAAGGTTATCCCAAGGTCAAATTCATAGCGTCAGTAAATAGATCCTTTGAAGCCCTACAACTTTGGTCTGAAATATTTTTCTCTAAAATGTGTTAACGAAAAAATCGGGTGACCCGGGTGGTCTGAAACACCCGGTATATTCATTACGTATCACTATGCGAAGCTTTATACTATGGATAATAATTTTATAATATTAAAATGAGAGTTAATTTCTATAAAACAATACTATGTAATAATAAGTTATTATAAATTAACTTCTTACCTTAAAACCCTAACCCCTAACCCTAACCCCTAACAACTAATTTTTACCACAAAACGTACGAATAATTTGCTTTTTGTAGGGGGCGTAAAAGTTCATTAATAAATTTTTAGGGATGCGAAATACAAATAGGATTGAGAAACTTTTCTGCTCAGGAGAGATGACGTTGCGCCTCATAAAAGAAAACAGTCCGCGCGTAGTTTCCGCAGGACGACCACGCACTCGCGAGTGCGTGGGGGACGCTCGCAAAGCGTCGCCGACGCGGCCGGCAGCGTCTTGTCGGGCTTGTGCGCGCCCGCGGAACGGAGGAGCCGTGCAACCTTATGCAATCCCATGCAATAGCCTGCAATCACACGCGATCTCGGCAGCAGATTACTAATTCGTCTCGACCGTTGGCGAGAGCGAACTGCGCGGCGGACATTGCGCGATTTCCTCGAGCGACAAGAGCGAGCGAGCGCGCCCGCACCTCGCTCGGAGCGGACGAATTAATTAGCGGCTGCGGGGGAGGGACGATGGGCGATTGGGATTCAATTTTCCTGTCGTTCCTTGCGTTGAAAATAATCGGGAATATCTGTTTTTTTTTTTCCGGACTGCTGAGTCCAGATCCATAAACGGGATTTTTTAATTTCGAGAACTCAATAAGGCGGTTGAAAGTACAAATAGACAGGGGGTCGTTTCGAAAGCAATAAAATGGTTCATTAAAAAAAAAGAAGCAATTTCAGAACAAGCAGAATCATCGAAATTTTAGAAAATTTTATTCTTATATACAGCTTCGAGAGGATTCCTCTAAGATTAAGAGGAAAATATTATAAACACATTATTCTTAAAGTTAGAGGGATTATTTATTTATTTATTTATTAATAATATATAGGTCTAATCCCTTTGGTATACAAAAATTGAGACAGTAGTATACGAGTAAGAAAATTTCCATACAATAAAAAGTGAACGAAAATAATAAAAAAGAAAAAAAAAGAGAAGATTATATATTATATGTATAATGCAAATCTTATTCATTTTAATATATTAATTTATTATTTAATATTATACATTATATATTAAGATTATATATTATGTAATATATTATTCAATATACAATAAATTTCCTCTTATACACAGATTATTTAATCTTTTTAGGAGGATTGTTATTCTTGCTGTACTTTATCCTTGCTGGTTATACTAGTTAATTTGAAAAAATTATTATAATGTATAGCGAAAAATAATATATATATATATATATAGATGTATTTCTGGCTCTGGTTCTACAATAAGTAGGCACGAATGAAATAAGATCATCATAACAAACAAATTTCCAATCAATTTTGTTATGGATTCCATAGCTACACAGATGTTTATCATAATCAATTACATGAAACATAATTAAAAGAAAGAATATATTGTTCAACTTCTTGCAATAGATTATAAACTGTATTTGACCAAATATGGGTAAATTATCTTCGTTATATGTTACACATATATCTTGTTTAAAAAGCTTAAATATCTTGTTTCAAATATTCTGATCCATGAGCATATGGTTATTTTTTCGTTGATATCTAGAGATAGAGCCATGACTGAACAAAAAAGACCGACATTCAAATCAACATATTCCTCTTCATATAAGAGGAAAGTTAATTGATCTAAGAGGGAATCCTCTTGAAACAAGAGAAAAACAGAATAATATCTAATAAATTTTAGATAAATGGCTCATTTTAATCACTTGATCGAAAGAGGAATCCGTTTTCTGTAAAAGGCTTTCGCTTAGAATATGAGATTATGGGAAAAATCACTTTACAAATAGAATACTTTGTTTTGGGTGTTCGTTTGGATTTCTTGACCAAAGTTTGTACCTTCTGACGAGAGAGACGTTGATGGCGAAGAAAAAACATGGCCGAGTACATTAAAAAAAGAAACTGCTAATTTTGACTACTCGTTTGTTCATAATACTTTTGCAGTTAACGATTAACGACTGCATGTACTTTTGTCGCATTTGCCAATGCTCTATGGACCTACGAGACAACAAGAAAACTCCATCGGTTTTGTTGAGCAGTCCTTGAAACATTTCCAGGGCTGAGAGAGAACAAAGGTAGAGTGCTCAGCGTCCCGGAAAATAAACACTGACGAATAAGCGTATCAATCGACGGATCGAAACTCGATCGTCTATCGGACAGAATCGGTTCGTATGCGGGGGGAAAGGATCGATGTAAGAAAGAAAATCAATTTCCGTCGGAAAAAGATCGATTTTTCGAAGGTCGTCCACTACGTCACTGAGCAAGGACGGCGGGCGAGGATCGACGACGCGAGTCGTCGCGATTGATCGATTCTACCCGGCCGATTATTCGTCGATCAACAATCCCGATCGTCAATCGCGATTTCGTCGGCCCGTGGCCGACGAAAATCTGGCGCCACGTTTATCTACGCTTAGATAACGGCGCTCAGATAAGCGCCGGCGGTGTCGAAGTCCGAAGCTGATTAAACGCGGCGGCCAGTCGGTGGCGGGCGTCGCGAGCGCAGCTCGCCGTTTCCGACAAACCGATTCTCCTCGACAGAGCCCGCCCCGCCGATATACTCGCGTTTCATCCCGGAAAAGGCCGCGACGGCCGAACTTTCCTCTTCTCCTCGCCGAAGAGGAAAGCGAGCGCGCTCGAGGCGCGTAGCACGTGGTGCGCCGCGCGCCTTCCGGAGGAACCCAAGAAGGTCAGACGGTCAACGACCTCCCGCCCTCCGTCAAGGTACAGGAATCCACCTGCGCGATAGAGAGAGAGAGAGAGAGAGAGAGAGAAAGAGAGACCCAACCGACTTTGCTCCGTCGGCCTTTGACGCCCCGGCCGTTGCTCAACCGACAATAATAACAACGGCCACGGTTTCCGGCGGAACTGCGCGTGCACGACGCCGACGGCCGAGGCGCGAAAAAGCGACGACGGACGTCATCGCCGCAGGGACTCGGCACAAAAGCGAATGGCAGAGGGGCGACTTGCCGGCGTGGCGCGGAGAGTGAACATTGCGTGCGTGCGTGCGTGCGTGAACGCGCGTGGGGGATCAGATGACGAACGAGCACCCGACGGCGGCGGCGGCGGCGAGGCGAGGAAGACGGCGAGAGGGAAGCTGTCTCGACGCCGTGCTATTTTCATCAGCACTCGCGGCTGGCCCAGATTCGACACGACCGCCGCGCCGAGTGCTTCGCGCCGAGATCGCCCGACTGCTGAACCGTGCCTGCTCGCGCTCGCTGCGGTCCCTCTCGCGCGTTCTCGGTACGTCGAGGAGCTCGCGGAGGAGGATGTGAGCCTGCGAGGACGCTGCGTAGAGCCCTGAGAGAGAAAGAGAGAGAGAGAGAGAGAGAGAGAGAGAGAGAGAGAGAGAGAGAGAGAGAGAGAGAGAGAGAGAGAGAAATCTTGAGTCGTAAGTCGTGCGATGCGCCGCGCCGCTAGGCCGTTCGCGCGCTGAGAGTGCCGAACTTCCGGGAGGTGTCCCGCGAGTGTGCGCGCGTGGAATGAAGATGTGACTTCCTGAGCGAGCGGCGCGCTCTCTGTGATCCTCCGGCTCTCGGCCGCCTCGCGTCACGCGACGACATTGTCTCTCGGACTCGACGGCAGCCGGTGGCGTGAGAGAGAGAGAGAGTGAGAGAGAGAGAGAGAGGGGGGGGAGGAAAGGCGGCTGATCGAGTCTTCGTTGCTCGCGAGGCTCTCCGCCACCCTCGGACTCCGCACGGAGCCCTCTCGCCGGATGACCGTGAGGTAAAAGTCGCCAAGGATCGAACGTGTGTCCTCGGGAGTACACGTGCCGCGGAGACACGCAGCTGGCCTTCGGAGAGACGAAGAGAATTCAATGTCCGGAAAAAGCCCAGCAGTAAGACGTAAGCGGCGAGAAATTGATCGATCGTCAAAATTGATTATTCTTATGACTCAGAAATGTTCGACTCTACTCCACTATAGTTTATAATTTAAACTATAGTGTGCAATATATAACGTACAGAGTGTATAAAAAGTACACCGGGACGGCGAAATATCTCGAAAACTAAGCATTTTAGAAAAAAATGTCAGACAAAAGTTGTATAGTTTCAAGAGGGACATAAAACAAAACTGTATCATTTCGTTTACAGATGGCGCCACACTCGAGATATTCGCTGATCGTTACTTTTCTCAAATGGAAATCCCCAAGTTTTTACTTATATCCTCTTTTTCTATCAATTAATTTCCACAGCATTTGTTTGAAACATTTTTTTTATTCTAATCCTGTCTAATCCGGTCTAATATTTTTTTAGATATTTGAGGAAAACTTGATAACTTTTTCAATATTTAACTCACGATATCTCGCTATTTGTTGGAAGAAAAAGTGGTACTAGACTTTTTACTCTGTTTGGTATTAAGAATATATTGTTACAATAGACTTTTGTTAATTTGATGATTTTGAAATTTCCAAGAGTCGAGAAGTTAACAAAAATCAGGGCGCTATTGTAACAATATATTTTTGAGACTAGAGTAAAATAGTCTAGGACTATTTTCTCTTTCGACAAATAGTTGGCGAGATATCGTAGACTAAATATTGAGAAAGTTACCAAGTTTTCATTAAATATCTAAACAAATATTATGCAAATAAAAAAATGTTCGAGACAAAAGTTGTTAAAATTGATAGGAAAAGATGATATAATAAAGAAAAATGAAGTTTCTACTTAAGAAAAGTGACGATCAAAAGTGAATAGTTCAAAAGTGGCGCCATCTGTAAACATAATGATATCGCCATATAAATGTCCCCCTTCAAATCAAACAACTTTTGTGTGAAACGTTTTTCTTTTATGTCTTTCGAGATTTTTGTCTGGTTTATTTAAAATGGGACACCCTGTATATTAATATTACATATATATAGAGTGCCCGGGATCTTTTAGAAACGAAACATTATGAAAGTTAATCACATCGAACTGAGAAAAAAGGTCACGTACCATTTTGTAAAACTTGCAATAGTTATTAAGTTATTAACGAAAATTAATTGAAAATGAGCACATCTAGAGGCTCTTTTAACTGATAACTTGAAAATTTGCGTACCTATTTGCAAAATGGTAAAGGATTTTTCTTTTCAGTTTGGACGCACGTTCGAAAATATTTCTTTTTCTTCACTTGACACTCCCTAATTTTTAATCGATAATTAGAAAAAAAAATTATTCAAATCAAAATATTCAAACACGATCTGAAAGAACAAGCCTTTAGAAGGCTTTAAAATAACGTATAAGACATTACAAAATGTCTTTTTCTTGGACAAATTTCCGTCGGAAAAAGCGCTACGAAATTATGCACCGACTCGACAATGAGGAAATTGTCTGGTCAAAATCGATTGTTCTCCTTACGATCCGAAAATAATTCAACTGCGGTTGGTTAATTTGCTTACTGCTTGCGTTTTTCTATGTGCGATCCGCTTTAAGGCCCGTACTCACCGAAAAACCGTAGTGGCGAGCAAGTGAACCGATCGGTTGAACATTTTCCGACCGTAAGGAGGATAGTCAATTTTGATGGGTCAGTTCCCTTACTGCCTACATCTTTTCTACACGCCGCTTAAGGGTTCATACACACAGAAAAATCCTACCGTTCTACCGTCAGCCGATGCAACGTACACTCGGCAAAGTCGTGACGCGCATATGAATGAAGCAAATTGTCGTCGCGCACGCAATGCAGCACGAGTTGCAAGTTCCTCAAGAACGATGGCGCGGGGGGGGGGGAGTTCCTCATAGAGGAATTTGGAGTTGAACTCGAGGCGTGCGCCCGTGAATTCGCTCTTGAGCTTCGCCGGGACTTTTTTTAGCTGCTACTCCCGCGTAGCAGCGGACTGAAAAATCCGTCGACGGTTTCCGCCCACGGTTTTCCGTTTGGCAGAGTCCACCTGCTTGCGCCACGCGCGCAGTTTCCCGTCGCCGTGAAACCGGTAGCGATTAGCCTTGTCTCTTACTTTCGTCGGGGCGATTTTACGACTTTCGGTTTCCTCCGAGAGCGCGCGTGTGCGAGCCGTATAAATTCGTCGATGTCGCTCGCGGATTATGCAATGCTCACTCTATTGTTCGCGAGACGCAGATCGCCGCTCGCTACCGACGACTCTCGTCTTCCGGAGAGAGATCCTCGTTCTCGCTGTCGTCGCCCGAGAGAGGCGTCTGACGGTGTGAGGAGATGTTTTCTTTCGGCGCTCTTTCGCGTTTTAGCGAAGGCGGATAAATGGGTCCTTGCGTCGCTCGCAGCCGGATATGGCTGTTCTGACTCTTGACCCGCGATTTCTCTCGTCCCGTCTCGTCTCGTCCCGTCTTCGTCGCGCACGATATGTGGCGTGTCTCTTGCTAATTGCACACCGACGAGCCGGCCGAGCCGTTCGTGAGTGTTTTTTTCCTTCGCACACTCATTCGACTTGATAATGCTCGGGCGTGAAGACGGGACGTTGAAAACAGATTTCGGGAGAAATACTGACGAAGTCATCACAAAGTTGAACGAGGGCAATTAAGAACTGTCTAGATGTGTGTGTTGAGTGAAGAAGTAGCGTTTATTAGTTAACCCTTTGAGGCAGGTATTTTTCAGAAAATCCGAATCACATGAAAATTTACATACGGGGTTCTCTGGTTTTCTAGGGTCGCTGATGACGAATCCGTTATCAGATTTTCGAAATTCAAGATGGCGGACGCAAAAATGAAAAAACGCGATAATTTCGGTGGCAATGGGTATTGTGGAGTGTTTGAAGTCGCTGATTACGAATCCGTTATCAGAATTTCAAAATTCAAGATGGCGGACGCAAAAATGAAAAACCACAATAATTTCGGTGACAATGGGTATTGTGGGGTTTTTGAAGTCGCTGATTACGAATCCGTTATCAGATTTTCAAAATTCAAGATGGCGGCCACAAATATGAAAAATTAACCAACCGGAAGACAATGTCAGATAAATATATTAGAATTCCATGATCCGCCAACTTGAATCTGCAATCTTGAACAATGAATTTTGGACCTCGGATTCGTAATCAGCGAGTTCAAAAACTAACCAGAGTACGATTGTAGCTAATTTAATAAAAATTCTATGATCCGCCATCTTGGAAAATTAATTTTGGAATTTGGACCTCAGATTCGTGATCAGCGACTCAAAAAATCCCCAAATCTTAATTTTGAGAAAAAAATTCACTCATAGTTTGTGGAAAATGATTTTTTTCTGTAAAAATGTGTATTTTTCACGCTTTATTTATGGTAAATGGACAACTTATGCAATACACTTTTCAATCTTTCATATATGTTCCCATATCATATAAGAAGCTAAAAAACGCAAAAAACCCAACAAGTATCCCTCAAATATGAAATATTTCATGAAAATGTGAGAATAAATAGGTGGTAAGTATACTTACCACTATGCCTCAAAGGGTTAAACGAAGCGAAACAACTCGGAGCCATAAAAAATTAATTAAGCGAAGATTTAAGTGTACTTTACCTTTGCTTCGCGCGCTAACGACGGCCGATCTAGATTCGATCTTCAGAAGATCGATTTTTACATCGGTTCCTCCAAACATTTCGACCCCGCTTGAATTCTCCATCAGACGAGATAACGTTGATAAATAATGCCGGTCGTGAGCGAGAATCTGTTTGCAGAAAAGTCGAATAGAAAAGGGTAGGGATGCCGATTTTTTTTCAAACGATTTAAAGATCGATTCGAATTCGAACACGGAGAAAAGAATCGATCTTTAAAAAACCGGTTTGTAAAGAATCGATTTCAGAAAATCGATTTGAATTGGTATGCATGTAAAGTGAACTACTCATATTAGAGTATACTATCTGTCAAATTTCTACACTCTAAAGTAGACCTCGTGCAATTCATATAAAGTTTAATATGAATTAAAGAAATTAAACAGATGGTACTCTTTTGGTTTTGTGTGTGTATATGTGTGACCAAAATAAGATAGAAAAAGATCTTTAAATTTTCATGCTAAGGATTTAATTAGTTCGATTAAACGTCAATCAAGGGTTTTTAACGTTATTAAATAAGAAATCACATTTACTATTATATGCATATGCATATGTATACAATGTATACTATTATACTATTATACGGAGTGGCTGTGATTGGTTCGCGCGTTCCGCTGAAAATTTTCGCCTATGGGACATCGGCCTAAAGGCAACATAAAATACATAGTGCAGCCATTGAGTGAGTTTAAATGTTACAACTAAAAGAATTTAAAAAAAACTATATTACTATATAACTATATTACTAGTAGAGACTGAAAGAATCGTGTTGGCGATTTTCAGAATTTACATAAGATCGATCTTTGAATTGATTCAGTCCCGGAAAATCGATTTGAAATCGATCTTTTAGACTGCAATTAATCGATCTTCGATTACATCGATTTAAAATCGGCATCCCTAGAAAAGGGTCAGTTGGAACAAATCAATTTTCCGGAGATCGAATCATAAAGTCGCGCATGGTGGTTCTCGATTCTGATTCGAGAAAAGGCAGTTTCTTCTCCCCTCTCCGAAGCGGAAACTTCCGCTCCGTTATCTCACGTTGTAGAGCGCCTCCGCGCTATTCTATCTGTACATATCTAACAGTCTATCGACAGAATCGCTACGGACACAAACGGTCCTCTCTCGTTTCGCGCCTCGCTCCGGCTGACCGGCGGCGCTCGCTCGCTCGCTCCCGCACGACGCAACTCTACAAATAGAATTTTGTTTACCGTGTGAGGGCAGCCGACGCATCATCGGTCTTGTGACAAGCCGCGGTGTGATGCTTTCGCGCGCCGGTGATGGACACGAGCTCGAAATATTCGATCGCTTTCGAAGTCGTCGCGGATCGTCTCTCGTCTCTGTCTAGTCGCGGGCGAGCGAGTGAGCGAGCGAGTGGAGGAAAC